CAGGGGAGAGGCTCCCCCGAGCATCCCCTGCCGGGGGCTCTGGGCGCTCTCTAATTCGCGCTCGCTCAGGTGCCAAGGAAGGGGCTCAGGCACTTTCTGCGTGTCTCCTTTCGAGACGATGATAAGCTGACTGGTTTCTTAAAGGGCAGGATAACGCGCTACATGTTTTTACATCGAATTTACTTTTTCATTTACAGTGGAATTTGCAGTTCTATCAAATGCGGGTATTAGAAGCTGCCTTTCCGTTAAAACAACGTTTTGCTTTTTGGTTTTTGTTTTTTAATCAAAATCCTGCGTTACAAAAGCAAACACATAGAAACGTAAGGCAGCTCTCGTTTGGTCTTTTTTATGTTTTGGCAGAAGGTTGTTGACACATTTCCTCAGACGTGAGCACCCAAAAGCTGCATCTGTGTATTTCAACCAAAGATGTTTTCTGATGTACTTCAATAGTCTCCTGTTTGCATTTATAATTATATATGTGTTGCCTTGCATACATTTACAGCCTATTTTCAGTTAAACTTCCTAGTGCAAATAGGGTATAATCCTTTTTTATGGAAGAATTTGTATGGTAATCCTATCATGAGAAAATACAGAGACTGGGATGTGAGTGGAAAATATTAGTTCCTATAATTCAATTAATATGGTAAACAGGTATATTTTTTAGATGAGGTATTTTATATTTTCTGTTCTACCTGCTAATTAAAATTACTTTATCCGCTAGTGCCACTATAAATAAATTTTAAGCCAGTAAGTATCTGATTTCCATCATACTGTTATGACGTTCTTGGTGATTAGAACAGAGACTGGAAACTTAAAAAAATAAATTTAGAACAGTAAAGCTGGCAGCTTGTCCTGTAAAAATCAACATATTTAAGATAAGCTAGCTTGTATCAGTTCATAACAGATTGTTAATATTTAGTCATGTTTTTTAGCTTCTAGTTGCTTTGCGCCTTGGAGACCACAGTCTTCACAACGCAGCCCGCTGAGTTATCCCTGATACGACACTGGAAATTGGAATACAATTCTTGTTAATGCGTTTAAATATAAAACTAGCTCAGAATTTCAGCAATTTATCTAAAATCTTCTCTGATAAAATATTATACTTCTCTTATAAAAGTAGCAGCTGTTAAAATAACATAGGCAGTAAAACAAGAGCCCGCTCTACACCTTCTCTTACTTAGAAACATCTGTAGCTTTATCTACATGGATTTTACTGACATTGCAAACTATAGAGGCTCTCTGACTTTCACTACAATGCTAAGAAAGGACTAAATCTTAGTTTGTAAGACTTATCTACACACTTGCTAATTTTACTCGAATGTATTTGTTCCTATTTAACAATCAGTGAAATGGGCTAAGAACAGAATATTCTTGTGAAGAATTATGAAGGGGACAGCAGACACAATTCAGGCAATATAGTACTGAAGAGGCAGGAGCAATGCTTTTGAATACTCAACAGACAGTAGCGCTACAGGGCTCTGTAGCAGACAGTAGCTAGCGTTATCCCTATAATAAAAGCAACTGTTTTGAGCGTCTCTACGTATCTCCAGTTCCCAGGATCCCATTGTACTTTACAAACATACTGAACTGACGTTTCTATCTCTTTCTTAGCGTTCATTAAAAAGGAAAGTGTATGTGATCGTGCTGCTTTGTTTGCGTACGCTTTTATGTGAGTGCTTGACCTCAAAATTACGAGGCTCTTGGCCAAAGTCAAATCTCACTAAGAGGTAGAGGTCTCAAAGACTTGAATTTCTTAAAGTTGTAATTAAATTAGGCATCTGGGTAAATATAGGAGCCCCTATTAATAGCCTCATTGATAGACAGGGTGCAGTGTGGACTCAACACGAGAGAATGCATACAGAGCGAGACATTCTGAATGCCCTGATTCTAGAGAACATGTCGACAGATGCTTTCACCTTCTTAGATACCAGAAAAATCCAACCACAAGACATAAATGCATAGGAAACTATACAGTGAGTCAGTGGCAAAGACAGGAATAGAAACATTGACTAAATCTTATTCCTGTGTTGGGCATGCCGGAGTGAAGAGTAAGCTTATTGGAGAGGGAAGAAAGAGAGACAAAGGGGGGAAAGCACAATCAGTGTGTGCAGTAAGTTGAAAATGCTGCAAATTTTGCTTTTGGGGCCTGCAGACATTTATTGCATTAAGCATACTCTGGACAGAATAAGAAGAGTCTGAGCAAGATAACGTAAAAGATAAATAGACTGGGTAAAACAATGTATCTTGTGACTCCAGCGCTCATTCCATCAATGAAAAAATAAACTTCTCCAGAGCATATATGTATGCAAGTGTATGTAATCTCTCTATATCGTACATTTTAAAAACACAGTTATTGTATTCAAAATCTCTCTCCAAAAAAAGAAAGAAGGAAGTCTGATCAGATAGACCTATGTAAGAAATCGCGTTTGGTTTCCTTTTCATCTTACTTCTCCCTGCAAAATTCTCTCATCCTAGACGTAGCGCTCACATATTTATAGCACATATTATGATTATGAGGATATCTGATTCAGAACTTAAAATTAAGCCTTTATTAGTTTACCAGTTATTATTACGTGCAGAGGAAAAAGGCTGGGCAGCAAGGAGGGCAAGAGCTCACGTCTCTATCTCAGACGACTGCAGTAGCTGGCTGGACAACGAAAACAGTTAAAACTCGGTGCTCCAGCAGGGCACGTCATTTCAACCCACGTCTCAAGGTGCCTCCTGGAAGGGCACCACAGTCCTCGCAGCCTGTGCTGTCATGCTCTGGCCTAATTCTGGGGAGAATTAGGCTAGGGTAGGTTAATGCGCTTGCAAGCTTCGCAGAGGCTAGTGCCAAATCTGACACAACATGGTCTCGTAAGGACAGCAACCGTAGATTTCAGCCTCATTTGTCCAGTGCCAACCATTACTGCTTTGTGAGCAGTAAGGCTATAGACTCATTTTGGCTTTGTGAAACGAAAGGAATACCAATCATGGTCAGTTAAATACTTGATTGAATTTTGGTATTTTGTCCAAACGTGGGAGCATTATTATAACTAACTTTACGAAGTGATATGATTTAATGTAACGTGATTACATTGTGTAAAGATATTTCTTTGATTCTACTTCATAGTGTAAGGATATTTCTGTGATCCTATTTCTGTGATTCTGTGATTCTCGGTATAGGTAAAATGATATTCTAAGTTGTCTTCCTTGCAGTCTGTAAAACAATGAATCACTTACAGTGTGTGAATTAGACTAAGCTGGAGTTTGTGATTACCTTTACATCTGCTTTTCGTGACTGGTTTTAAATGACCTGGAAGAAAATGTCATGTAGCATCCAAGGCAAGAATATAACATCTGAAACCAAGATGATACGTATATATTCATATATATCTATATCTATATAATATGAGTTTCTCCATCTATGTGTACATACATACATATCTACATATATAAATATACATCATCTTGGCCTTAAATGTTTCATTCTTGTCTTCAATGCTATATGAGCTTTATAAACTTGGTTATATAATGAGGCTGCTAATCTATATGTATAGTGAGTACAGTACTCGCTGTTGGAAATACATTTCTATCACAGAGGTATAGATTAGCTGTATGACAGAATTGGAAACCACTGAATAATTCATTGTTTCAGAAACAGTCTAGACAAGTTAAAGAACAGCTGAATCAACAGCTAAGTATCACAATCCTGTTTTGTCAGTTGAGGCTTAATAGAAAGCATTTGAATTTGTGATGTCCAGCACAGAGTCTACTATTGCTCTTCACATCACTTGAAATTGATGTGGTTCTTAAAGTGACTTCACTGCAAGTTTTTTAGTAAAGCAGCTCTTGAGTTTAGAATACCTTTAAAATTGAGTAGTGAAGAAGAAAAGTGATGTAATAGCTCCCTAAATTACCCTTTTAGAAAAAGTGCTTAGCTTCTCTTCCAGGTATATAGGTCAGAGATGTCAAATTCACTCTGTGGAGAGGCTCTCCTAGAATCACTACATGATAGCATATAAGTAGCAATCTGTGGTGATGCTGTGATATTTGTATATGGTCTAATTTGGAAGTTCCTATTCACAACTGGGATTTCTTGAGTAAGGAAACAAGCAGAAGAACAGTAACTACAGATAAATGGTTTTTCTACTACATCTACTAGTATCACTATGCAATGGGTCTTTGGCAGTGAAGATGCCACCTCTTGCAGGTTCGGAACAGTAAATGGCTAAACAGATTTCATGGCGAGAAAAAAGGAGATTTCTTAATTTTGGTAGTTGTCTCTTGTGAAGGGTAATAGCAAAGGCCTTTTCGAAGTCTAAGAATAATCTCCATCAGGTCTTTCTTACTGCTACTTTGACAAATCAAGAAAGTATTTATACCAAGTTAACAAGAGATTGTGTTTCTTTGCAGACTCTTTGCTGATCAGATCCTTTC